AAGGCTGGGGGTTCCCGGAAGCCAATTGCATTTGTATGGATATGGAAAATGTTGATTTTACACTGTGTTTTACAGTGTTTATGCTTTTCTCTGAGAGTGTTTGATCAGCCAAAGTTTCAATGTCGGCGCGGATAAACTTGACGTTTGTCCGCGCAGAAAAATGATAAATTTACATCTTCCATGGATGGCCAAACATGTGTGCAACATTCTAACCATTGGAATTGCGGTTTCATGCATTCTAGGTCGTTTTGTTGATAACTAGAAAATGTCATAATTCACTGGAGAACCATGGACGAAATGAACATCACACCTTTTTCAGCTTCACGCCCACAAAGGCTTTTTGAAGCAGTTGCTTGGAGCGAGAGCACCATTTGCCTTCTGCAACGTAACAACATCTTCAACGAAGCAACATCCTCAAGGTTTCCACAACTCTCAATCCAACGCGCTCCACATGACGTTATTTCACACCCCCCCACCCCCCCACCCCCCATCTCTATACCATAACGACGTTTATAGTATAGGCTCAAGACTGAGGGTTCCTGGAAGCCCCGGGGAACCCCCAGCCTTGAGCCTATATATATATATATACATATATATATATTATATATATATACATATGCGTGTGTGTGTGTGTGCGTGTGTGTTTGTGTTCATCATATCAGTTGTATCTAGCTTCAGCCGTCAGAATGCGTTTCACAGAACCTCCATAAATACATGTTGTGGACATGTGCAAACTGTATATACTAAGTAGAATCTTAGTAGATACTAAGTATACGTATACTGGAGATGTACTAGAGAAATCTAGAGACTGCTTGTGCTTTAAACACATCCAGCCCGTTTCTTGCCGGCTTTCCAGACTCCTACAAGGAGGCCGCAGCATGCTGTGCCATGGGCAGAGGCCCACTTCCCGAATCCAGGATCTGATCCGTAAACTGAAGCTCTGATCTTTGTAAATGATCTTTCGATATCTTTCGACCTTAAACAGAGGATCTGAGTGTCCTCTACAGGGATTCACTTTCAGAAGGAGCTTGCAAGAAACTCCTGGCGCATTTGACAATATGACCTTTGTGGCCAACCCAACGCTGAGAAGGACAGCAGATACGTTCACATCTTTCACATCTTTCACATCTTTCACATCTTTCACATCTTTCACATCTTTCACATCTTTCACATCTTTCACATCTTTCACATCTTTCACTAGACTTCTGATCAGTCTGATCACTTCAGACGTTCAAAACGACAACTTTCTCGCTGACATCAAGGATCCGGAGCGCCTCCTTCAGCGGCGGCTACTCCTGGCTTTCAGAAATTTCACGGTAGAACAGCTGCAATGGGCATTGAACGGGAAAGTCTTTCCAGGCTGTGAAAACAGTGAATTCAAATTGAATTCCTCCAGTCTTTCTATGTTTTTCTCATCTTTCTCACCTTTCTCATTTTTCCTATTCTTTGTCAGTCCAGGGCCTTCCAGAAATGCTTCTGCTGTTTTCGAAGGCCAAGGCTTCTTGCTCCATCTCTACCATGGCTAACTCCAAAAAGGCGCTGGTTCGAAGCTCCTCGCGGAGCGTTGAACGCAGAGTAAAAAATGAATAAAAAGATGCATCAACAAAATCCAAAGAGTCCAAAGATCATACATTGATACATTGTCAATGCTCCATACAGATCCAAAGATCTCAAAGCATCTGCGCCTTGGGTCCAGCACGTTCCTCTAAAGGTGCAGTCAGAGCTGCAGTGATTTCCAACCTTGGTGCAGTCGGGAGGGGAAGGCAAAACCGAGCCCAGAATCTCACGACAATCCTTGAGAGGTGAACATATACTATGCAATGTCATAGGCATCAACAAAATGTCTACATTTATGTTCAACATATTCTACAGAATGCTTACTTCCATGAGTATTTCTCCTTTAACCACAATTTATCGAAGGAAGTTTAGAAGTCAAACTTCCGACAATATGGACAGATGAAAAGCAGAGAAGGGAAGAGGCAGAGAAGAGAAAGATTAGAAGAAAGAAGAGTAGAAGAGAAAGAGTAAGAAGAAAGAAGATGCAGATGCGAGAAAAGGTAGGAAAGTCGCGAAACACTGTGTTTTTTCCAATGATTTGGGGCTCCGGAGGGTCGAAAAGTAGGCTAAAGCGGCGGGTGCGGAGCCAGCTGGCCAGATGAGAGATGAAAAATTGCACGCCGTTGTGGCGCGAAGCACATTTGCAAGTCAAAATGTACAAAACACACCAGCTTCGGACCACTTTTGGAAGTTGAGATGTCGAAAAAGTGCACGCCGTTGTGGCGCGCAGCACATTTCCAAGTCAAAATGCACAAAGCACACCAGGTTCGGACCACTTTTGGAAGTTGAGATGTCGAAAAAGTGCACGCCGTTGTGGCGCGAAGCACATTTCGAAGTCAAAATGTACAAGACACACCATTCTCGGACCACTTTTGGAAGTTGAGATGTCGAGAAAGTGCACGCCGTTGTGGCGCGAAGCACATTTCGAAGTCAAAATGTACAAGACACACCATTCTCGGACCACTTTTGGAAGTTGAGATGTCGAGAAAGTGCACGCCGTTGTGGCGCGAAGCACATTTCGAAGTGAAAATGTGCAAAACACTTCAGTGTCGGACCACTTTTGGAAGTTGTGAGTCGAAAAAGTGCACGCCGTTGTGGCGCGAAGAACATTTCGAAGTGAAAATGTACAAAACACTACATGTTCGCGCCACTTTTGGAGGTTCAGATGTCGTTTTGCGTGGCAGGCGCAAAGGATTGTGCACCTTGTCAAAAGTGAGCAAAACGTGAGGGTTTTGCAGCATTTCCAGAAACGATGGCAGGCGTAGGGCATTTGAAGAGGATCTTCAAAGATGCATTTCGCGTGGCATGTGCAGTACAAAAGACATGTTCATCAGAGATGTTCGGAGGTCAGGGCGCTCATTTCCTGAGAGGGGTTGCATTTTGGAGTGTCAGATCTTCAGGTTTGCTGAGATGATTTTGCGTGACAGGTGCAGCACGTCGTATGACCTGGCATCAATTTTTCGTGGCAGGCGCAATACTTTACACAGGTGGAGTGGAAAAATCGCAAAACGCATTGGCACGAGGCTCCCAGCGCTGCACTCAACTTTCCATTTTTGAAGGAAGTCTCGCAGAATTGCTTTGTTTTTGACGTTGTTAAGTTCAAACATTGAGGAAGTCTCGCAGAATTGCTGCGGTTTTGGACGTTGTTAGGTTGAAAAATAAAAGAAGTGTCGCAGAATTGTTCTGTTTTTGATGTTGTTAAGTTCGAAAAATGAGGAAGTCTCGCAGAAGAGCTTCGCTTTCAACCTGGCACATAGACAGATAGACAGACAAACAGACAGAGATAGATAGATAGATTGATAGATAGGATAGAATAGATAGGATGGATAGATAGATAGATGGAGAGATAGATAGAGATAGACAGATAGACAGATAGACAGATAGACAGATAGACAGATAGACAGATAGATAGATAGACAGATAGATAGATAGATAGGATAGAATAGATAGGATAGAATAGACAGGATAGATAGGATTGATAGGATAGATATGATAGCTAGGATAGATAGATGGCTAGATAGATAGGATAGATAGATGGCTAGATACATGGCTAGATAGATGGCTAGATAGATAGCTAGATAGATAGCTGGCTAGATAGATAGATAGGATACGATAGATAAATAGATAGACAGATAAATAGATAGATAGATAGGTAATTAGATGAAAGAGAGAGAGAGAGATAGATAGATCGATAGATAGAAAAATAGATAGATAAATAGATTGATAGATAGATAGATAGGTGGAAAGAAAGATAGATAGATGGATAGATAAATAGAAAGGTAGACGGATTGATAGATACATAGATAGATAGATAGATGGATAGATAGATAGATAGATAGACAAATAGCTAGAAAACTAGACAGCTAGATAGATAGGTAGGTAGAGAGAGAGAGAGAGAGATCAAGCACCTTTCGGTCCATCAGTGGCTTCGCTCTGCCATCCCTGATTCACAACAACCAACCTCTCCTATAGGTTTCCTATTTTTGAAACTTCCGCCACCGTACTACTGGTATTTTATTATATACATATTATGTTGCATATAAATAATTATATACATATATGTTTTGTTCATATGTCATTTCCCTTTTTCCCTTTCTCGGTCCAAGTGACGCTGCTGGCTCTGCGCGGCGCTCCCGCAGGGCGCGGCGCAGCGCCTCTGACAGCTGCGGGCCTTCCAACGGCAGCAGAACCTGACGCAGCGACGGAGCTCGCCGCTTGTCGCTGGAAGCAACTGATGCATTTATTCTATTTATATAAATTATAGTCATTTTTATATTCTATGTATATTCTATGTATAGTTCGCACAAGTTGATTCCGAGGAATCGACGAAATTGAAATGATCGGATGCGTTTGTCATTCTTTGACTGCTCCTTTTGCAGTTTTGCACAGTTGCAACACATTTCTACATCGTACCTCGCGGCTCTGCGCCGTAGCAAGGCGTCCTCCTCGTTCACCCAGAAGAGTGAGCAGAAGACCTTTGGCATTGCATTCGGGATCGATGTGGGATATATTTGATATATTCATTCCAGTTTGAATTCATAAATCAGCTAGACTCATCCATAGGCTCCAACTAGACCCATGATCAAAAAGCTGAGGTTCTTCAGTAACTTGATTCGCATGACATTGTGCTGAAAGATTCCTTTCTGCTGTGGATTTCGAGTGTCTCAAACCAAGGAGCAGCAGCCCAGTGCGAACCAGTCCCTCGCTGCCATTCGCCTTGCTCGTGCTGATCGAGCCTGGTGGGAAACACAGGAGGCGAATGACACAAATGACACAAGGAGCACGAGTTGATGGCCCGTCTGAAGCACAGGATTCATTAACAATATTCAAAAATTCCAATTAGATTCCATCAGGTAGGAGCATCTATATCGCAACACTCTGCCCTGAAGAATTTCTGAGATAAATGCAACTGGGCAGTGCCAACTACTGTCTGTAAATACCTATAGTCTGTAACAAACAATGCTCATTTGTTTTGCCACATTCAGCGCTCTTAATAATGTAGGATGAGGCGTTTTGTTTACTCCCAGAGATTTTCTGAACAGCTGAGGCACCTCGGTATCAGAAAGGTCCACGGGTGTCGCACAGCGCAGAAAAACCTCTGCTGCCATGAACGCAGGTGTGCCTGGCTGATCAAGTCTACCCGGTATACCCGAAATCAGACTCTGAAATTGAGAAATGGAAAGAAATGGTTCGTCATGTTTCATCGTGTTTCATATCGCCAAAAACGGCAATCGGGACAAGCACGCCTGCTTCAGGAGTTGGAAAGCCACTACCATCGAAGATCGAGTTGAAGTTCTGAGGAGTGGTGTTGCTTTCCTGTGAACAGATGTGAACAAATGTGATCAGATGTGATCAGTGATTCGTTGAGACTTCCAATGCTTCCAGCCGCCACAATTCCGCTCCTCCAAGCGCATGGGGCAAGCCAAACCAAAGTCTGCAAGCTTGGCCACGCCATTGGCGTCCACACCACTGGTGATCTCAGTCAAGCGTCGAAGCTGGATAAGCTGGGAATCTCTTTACTGAGGTGACACTCAAGGACTCAAAGGGTGACAAAGGGTGAGGTGCTCATAGGTGCTCTGGAATGAATTGGAATGAATTGGAATGATTCCATTTTCGGGTCAGGGAAGTCCACAAGTCTCTGCAATCCACAGATCAGCCCTAGACCAGGACATTCTCAGGCTTCAGGTCTCGAAAGACGATCTCCTGCCGTCTGAAGCCGTCTTGACGTTGGATCTGGCTTAGGAGCAACAGAGTCATGACTTTCCAAGTGGTGCTATCATATCATCCGGGCATTTTGTCGTTTGGGTGCAGAGAAAATCAAGTGCTTGAAATCGCCTGGTGTAGTGGAATCAAGAGTTTGGCTTCCGCAACACGTGTTCAGTCCTTTATGTGGAGATATTCCAAAGCAAGGGCCACACAAGCCGTGTAGCGTGCACAAAGGGGACCGGGCAAACCCTCTGCACAGCCCGAACCGTGTCTCGTTCGCAGGATGCGCGCCTTGGATGGTTTTTGAAACGAAAGACTGCCACCGCAAAAAGCAGACACTCGAAACAAATACACATTGACTCACATTGACTGAAAAAAAAAGTTTCATGCCGAGTCACATTGAGATTTTCCAAGCACAGTTCCATGACCTTGGAAGAAACTTAAAGCAAAAGGCGCAAACACGAACAAAACCTGGCAATATCTTTCATACTAAATTGAGTTGATGCAACCAGCTTCTGAGCAATCCGACAATGCAGTAGTGGGCACTTGTTTGGAAAATGTGCACCAGTCCCACGATAAAGGCATGGTAAGAGCTGTGAAGAGCCTCTGACAATGGCCGAAAGCTTCTGAGAAGAGCAAAAAGGCTCAAGACATGGAAACAATCATATGCCCTCCTTTGCCCTTCGAGAACTATGAAACATACATGGCAACAACTTGCGCTAGCAACGTGCAATGGCTTATTTTATGTGTTTCCAGTTCCAACCAGCAACCCTACCAAGCCTGCGCTTCACGTACAGCATATTTGGTGGTGCGGTCCTGCCAAACAAATCAAATTTATGACCAGTCATGACCGGCACTTCTTTCAGCAAGCATGGAACCGCAGGATACCAGCAGGGCCCAGACAACAACAACCCATCTATTCGGAGAATTTGTTCCTTGAAAGGTCCAGCTGTCCTTTGGCTGCAGTTTCATGGCATAGTGCTTCTGCGTGCGTTTGTCCAGGACCTTCAGGACTTTACCAAATCCTGCAACACAAACAATTTCTGTTTCATTCTTCAGTGTTCCAAATTGATGCCAAGAAGAAACTGTAAAATTCAAGTCCGCATTGGCTCTCACTTGCTTTACCGCAGCAGGCATTCATCATCTCAAGCTATTTCTCCGTTCTGCCTAGCTATGCGGTCGTTTTTTGAAAAAGGTCAGCGGACTTGCTGACGCTATAAGACAATCTTGCGACCCATCCACTCTTTGATGCACCACAAAACTGATTCAACTGTCGCGTACCACACAACAGTCTTCTGAAAAAAACTTTTAAAAAGCGTTAAAGGGCAGCAAACAGTAGAAGCAGGGCGGACAAAGCCCACGTTGCCCAACCCCACCATCCAGAAAGTGATCCAGAACCGTCATCTTTTCCTTCACCCCAGTTCCGCCCAGAGCTGCGATCTGAATCTCCACCCCAGGCCCAACCAGAATCCTCCCCGTCACCCGAAGTCCAGTCAGGACCAGCATTGATCAATCGTGGCGCTTTCCTCCGGATTTCCTCTTTCATCCTTGCATTGTCATTGGATAGGCGTTCAAAATCTTCAAGCACTTCCTGATAGTTGCGGCTCTCCACGTCTCTCACAGTGCAAGGCTCAATCTCAATTGTCGGTACGCTCATGACCAACTCTTCCAGGTCCGGAAATGTCTTGACATGATTCTCCGAGCCAGCAAGTGCTTCATCCTCCTTCAATAGGGTGATTTTTACTGTGATAGTGTTCAAGCCAGCCCATATCGGCTTCAAGAAGTCCGCAAAGTTTTGCTTGGAACGTCTCAATCCTTCATACTCAGCAGTTCCAAGCCTGTTCACAATGATGCCAAACTGGTTTTCAGATATGGTTGGCACTGCGTCTAGAATAACCTTCATACTTGTCACATCCTCAGGACTTACTCGGCCAGAAAGTGTTGTAAGCATAAAAAGGATTTTGAATTTTCCACCTTCCTTCAAGGCAGCCGTGATGTTGTTTGCAGCTTCTTTGCGGAGCTCCGGGTCTGAAAGTCCTGGCGTATCAATGAAAGTCACATCGTTTTCCATGGTGACAGCCTCCCATTTGCGAGTCTTTCCACCTCCAAAGGACAAGCCAGACCTGAACTTAAAATGGCCGATCATTGAGTTCAGCAAAGTGCTCTTTCCACTTCCTGGTCTCCCGACAACCACAATTTTCGTACCGGGTTCCAGTTTCTCCCAGAGAGGCACGTGCTGAAGGATCACTTCTTCAGGTGAGCGCAAGACCATCGCTCGCTGTCCGTCTGCACCACTTTGTTGATTTCTCGAGAACAACTTCGACAGGCCCAAGAAGAATGTCGTGGTCCCATGGCACAGGAAGCCAAGTAGAGCAAGTGTCACCAACCTTCTGACTCTGTTGGCCATGGTGAATTGCTAGGCTGCTAGGAGAAAGTTCTGACGAGCTGGGGATACAAGCCAAATGCCTCCGCATAACCTCCATATTTCTCCAATGAATTCACATCTGAACAAAATAAGGCCTTGGAGAATTTGAGACATTTGAAACAGCACAATTCGCTGCGGCTGCAAGGGCCTCCAGAGCCAAGTGCCTTGACCGGCTTCAAAGACATTATGTGGAAGCCATCCTGGGAAGTGACACTGCGGGACCCCAACACTTCTGTTTCGTTTGAAAAGGTTTGAAAAGGGTGAATGCAGAGGGTGAAATGATATGAACTGATGACAGATGGATACTGCAAATTGCTGCAAACATCATCAAACATCCACCTTCCGAGACGCTCCTTGTCCTGTCGAAGGCCATCAAGGACTTTCGCCAGCTGATCCCCGACACTCCGGGAGAAGAGGAAGGAAACCAGTCCCGTCTTCCTCCCTGGCGCGGAGAAGCAAACAACCAAAACGTCTCTCGGTGTTTCCTTCACTTCCGTGCCTGTCATGTTTTTTGTTCAACACCTGCCACAACCTGCCAGTGTTCATATAGCTTCGTGATGCTTCGTGCCTTTCTGTACATCCTGCGGAGCTTTGGCATACTCGTGCCTACGGGATGCAAACATGCGACAAAGATAAAGTCAATTCTGCATCAGGATCTCAAATCATGCTGAAAACTCATACACAGTTTTGCAATCCAAGTGACACATTCTAGATATTCTAGTCTGTAGCAAACATGACTTCAACTCCTGCCTATCCCAAGGCAAACCAAAGAAGGTTGCAAGCTCCTCTGCATCGCACCTGCCCAGGTATTATACAGATATCAGATCAAACTTCAAAGTTCTTGGGATCCAATCTACGCGCGGCATCATTCGCTCCAACCGAGCCTTTCAACCAAAGGTTGATTCTTGCACTCTTCGAAGTGCTTCAGTTCCTGCCTCTCTTGCTCCCTGACATGTTTCGCATGGACAAAGACTGGGACGACTTGAGTATCTTGGCACAATATGGCACAACAAGCTGTAGCTTGATAGACATTGATAGAAATGATCGATTACGATATGGCCTCAAATGGCGCTGAAGCCATTCTGGTGCGCTGGAGGCCAGTTCCGCTGGGGACTGACCCCAAACGTTTCGCTGTGCCACATTCCGCACCTGGTAGTCCTCTCCAGCCTGGCAGGAGAGAACCATACAGAGCCCTACTAACCTAGGACTTCTGACAGCACTTCCAACCAGTCTACATGTGTCACATGTGTCACATGTGTCACATGTGTCAAAAGGTCGAATCCCGAGTACAGACCTCTGGCAATGGGACCAGCAACTGCTGGATGAAGGATGCTTCACCTCAACAAACACGAATCCTTTGAAGTCTAAAGGCCTAACATGGCCTGACTACAGATTGCCACAGATATCTGCATCTATCAATTAGAGAACCTCTTAGAGGATCTCTTGGATTCCTTAGATACGTGTTTCAAACATGTTTAAAGCATGCTGTTGATAACTCTATGATATATATATATATATATGTATCATTTTATATCAATTTTGTATTGAATATATATATATATATGAACATAGTATGTAACATATGATATATGATATATGAACATATTATGTAACAAAAAATTCACCAAACGCTCCCGAGTGGCCCAGGCGGCAGGCCACATGCAGCGCCGTGTCCCCATGGCCATCGGGCAGGTGGGGATCCGCGCCATCCTCAAGCAGCCTCTTGGCCTCGACCAGTTAGAAACTCACAACAATGTTTTGAACTGTGCTTGGAAAACCTTAGAAATGTTAAAAAAATATCCCCCCCCTTTAGGGGGGGTGGGGGGGGGGTAAAAACTGAAATATTTCACTTTAGGGGTCTCCCCCCCCCCACACCTAGAAATATTTCACCTCCCTAAAGTGAAATATTTCAGCTAAAAAAAATCTGGTCTACAATGGTCTCTGGGCGTGGTTGAATTCAAGGCTGAATGTCATGTTCTGAAGGCTGTTTGGCAAGTTCACTATCTTATTTACTTTCTTGGAAACCGGCAGTTACCATTTACCTAGTTGTGTGTTTGCGTGTGGACCCTACCCGCGCAAGGACTACAAAGGTCCAAAAAGGAACAGCGTCGGCGTGTAGAAGACGCGCGCTCGTTTTACGCAAAATGAAAGGGTGTGTCATACCATCTCTGGGCTAAAATGTGGCATCCGGAGGACCCCCCCCCACGTTTTTTCGAAGCCCAAGAAACACGTGGGGGGGGGGTATATTTCACGTGGTCAGGTGAAATATTTCTCAGAAATTTCTTGCCTTACCCCCCCAAAAAATATTCCAGGGTTAAAGGGTGGGGGATAAAAAAATAAGGTTATGGGTTGTAAAAGTTGTAAAAGATCTCAGCTGGTGTTATATTTGCTGGTAACTGGAAGGGGCCCAATCTTTGAATGCTTGTGTAGTTCTTTCAAGTATGGTTGGCATCCCAATCATCTCGAACATCTCCGATAGTATGAAGCGATAAATCAAAAATGTTTTTTTTGTCGATTTTCATTTTAAGGACTGCAGCACAAGGACACATTGTAAAAACATGTTTCGATCGTTCCTGTTGATCTTGAAGATATTTCGGTTGATCGTCGATTCATGTCACTCTGACAGAAGAAACTTCCAATGCACATCCTCCACAAGCCCAAAATTCTCGCAAGCAAATCCAAGCAACACAATCCAAATGTCGATTGGAAATGGCCAAGTGCAGTGGTGTCTCCCGGAGCGCAGTGCATTGCGGTCGTGAGACATCATAGCCTTCAAAAACAGCAACAAAGGTTCAACATGGTTCAACATAGATGTGCTGAAAGACCCGAAATGAACAAACCAAACACAGCTTTTCAAATGCTTTTCATATCTTTTCATCACAGCTCTTCTCAAACTGTCGATCCGAGTCGATCCGACTGGACGGGACTCGCAGAAGCGGGCGCCGACGCCGACGCCTTCGGCCAAGCGCTGCTGCAGCTGTCGCAGATCGCCTCTTTTGGCAGCCGCGTGGAGATCCGAGGGTCGTGCGCCAGCACGACTGAAGCTCAACAGCAGCTGGGCGCCTTGGTGTCAAAGTGGAAACCAGGCGAAGTTCTTTGGAAAAGACCGGCTGAAGACACACATTGAAAAAGGATACCTCATTGCTAATTGATGCTTGGGAAGAGATCCTAAGTAGTCTTAAGTGAGGGTTGACACTGGCTATCCCGAATCTTGTAAGGATGCTTCCAATTTTTTCCAAATTTCTGACTGTCCATGCACATGGTTTTGTAGTGTTTTCGAATACCTTCGCCTTTCCGGAATGCCAAGCTGCAAAATAAGACAGCCATGCCTGCTGCTTCTTTGCTAACCTCACGTTTTTCTCAGCTAAAATGTCTTCATCAAAGGTCATTCTGCTTCGAGTGTTCAGCTTGAGGCTGTCACCAGCCATGATTCGGAGGCAAGGAGAAGAACGGTTAGGCCAAGCAAGGCTGCACCTCAGCGAAACCACTTGCCTTTGATTTTTCCGAAAAATTGCGCGGTTGTTCCTTGCAGCAACTTTCAACATGCTGGTGCCTGTAATCCTCGCCACCCAGCTGGAATGTTCTTGGCGTACCGGGGTTACCGTATGCTGTTTAAACGAAACATTGGATGCCTTGGATCCTTTAGGATCCTTTAGGAAGGGGAAACTGATGGAAACTGTTTATGCTTTTTATGGCTGTCACTGAGTCACTTTCGTGCTTGTCAGTGCCAAGGTGCGCTGACAGGCCACCCAAAGGGAGAGGCGTCTTGCAGGTGTTACAACTCCTGAAACGCAGAGATCATCACTGTCAGCTGAGGGAGGCGTTGTGCAGTCATGTTGTGCCGTCATCGTCATAGCATGTCATAGCATGTCACAGTGTGGCCACATGGCGCCCACATGGTGTCCACATGGTGTCCACATGGTGTCCTTGTTCATCCACATAGCGGCTGATGTCAATCATGTAGAGCGGCAGGCTGAGCACCAAGGTCTGCAGGAGTCGGGAGACAGCGCAAGGCGGAGCAAAACATGGTCATATCATGTCAAATCATCTCCAACGTCTGAAGCAACAAATCTGAAAGAAAAGAATAGAAATGTAGGAATCAAATGGAATCAATAGAAGATAGTAGAAGTGTGTTGAAGCAAGGGGAGCAAACCCAAAAGTCCTGTGAACAACGGACCCGACGGACCCGACGGACCCGACGGACCCGGATCTCCCAACAGGAGCACCTTCACAGAGCAGCCCGACAGAACGCTCAAAGCAGTAGAACTGACGAGGTAGTCCAAGAATCTCAGGACGGATTTTGCAGTCTTGTGGGCGTCCAAATTTTGACGATTACTCGCGTTTTGCAGATCACAAGATGCTTGTGAGAATCCTCTGATTCAAACATTGTTCTGGATAGCATCAACAAGCTCTCAATGTTGATTCAGTGCTCTTTGCAATGAATCGCCTTTCTCACTGAACCGCTGCTACGAACGCATGAAACGAGAATGAACAAGGCACATGGCAGCAGCTGCACCCTCGTGGCCAAAGGCATAAAACACGCAACTGGCCTTGGGAGAAGAACTGAGCCGACAGAAACGTTCACCAAAGCTTTCCAATGATAGTGTGATGAAATGTGATGAAGTAATGTGAACCACTCTGGGACTATGGGCGCTATGGGCGTACTTACTACCCACACCAAGTGGTTGTGACAGTGTGACTGATTTGCTGTCGACTTTTGTGTGGAGCTGGAACCACTCTCGGCCAAGCAGCAAAGCCAACCAAAGTTTGTGCACGGAGAAGTAGTTCTGTCAAACGAAGCGCGCAATGGCTGCCTGAAAGGGAACGAAACTGCAGAAATGTTTTGCAACACCCTTAAGCTTTATCCGTCGCTAAAACAGTCGAATGAACAGAAATCTGTTTAATCATGCTTAATCTGCTATCTGACTGTCAGTGGCGGTTTCTTGACCTTGAAAGTAGCGAGACTCCAGGGCGTACTGCCTGGCAGAGTGGCTTCAGCGAGGCTTTGGCAGAAAGCGCAATGGCACGGAAACACAGAGTAAAACTGCAAAAACACATAGTCTAATGCTTCACATCACCCCACCACACTTCGCGTATCCTGCGCCCATCCTCACCGTTTCACATCCTTCACCATTCTTTTCGTTCCCCTTCGCCTCCGAATGAAGGCTGACACCTTGAAGTCAAAGAGGACCATCCTTAGGTCTTAAGAATGTGATTTCAAAGTCCATTTCACGGGCATTCAGAGCAACTCCAAGAACTCCAAACTAGATGAACCATGATGAACCTCTGTTTGGAATGACTTGTACATCGGGCGTTCCGATTTGTGAATATCTTGTGAAGAAGTTGACCGTTTTTGTTCCATCTTTGTCTTGGAGCCATTGGACAATTGTGTGCCAAGACACGCCTGGACCATGCTTGTTACGTTCAAGGCCAATGTGACAAAGAATATCCAAAAGTCATAGTCCCAACTTCTCCTTCGCAAGTACCGGCGGTTTGTAACTTATTCAGAAACTGTCTGCAAAATTGTACAAATACATGTTGCACAGTTGCACACCTCTGTCAAGACAATTTCAAACCTTCTGGGGGTCTCATGTCAAACGCCTCAATATACTTCGATATGATGATGTCATATGATGGAAAGAAGATGAAAGCAGGTTGTTGCTATTGATGTCATTTGACCCGGTGAAGGTCCAAATTCCTGCATCTGAGCAGGTGCATCAGGCAAACGACTCTTGGTGCTCCAGTCCTGCCAGGCCCCCAAGAATCCAAACAGACCAATCCTGGTTTCACCTGATTTCACTTCATCACCATGGCTTTAATCAAAACCCCACCCTGGCAAAATCAAAAATTTCCCAGAGATGGTTAGATAGATGTTGACTCAACTCCATTTCAAACATCTCTGATCTGATTCTGACTCTATGAACTCATAGCTTCAGGTTTCCTTGTGTTCTAGATGTTCTAGTGCCTGCAACAGAACGTAGGTTCCTAAAGGACTCAACGCACCGCTTTTCTGGTTTCATCCGGTTCCCCGCCGGTTTCCCCGTCATGAAACGGATGAGGCAGTCAAAGGAGCCCACATCACCACCGTAAAAACTCCGGCGGCTGAACATCCAGTCGACGCTTTCAAAGGGGCCACCTTCCAACTGCTTTTGACTATGCATCAGCAATATCAGCAATATCAGCTAGTTATCAGCTAGAGAACTAAACTGGATGCAGTGTGAAACTCCAAATTTTGCGCATGGAAAAAAACCTTCCCTGCTTTGCCTGCTTCTCATGTCCAATTCCATGCATGGTGTTGCCGTGCCTGTGGGCGTTTTGAAGTGGTTCAGTTTGTCAGGTACACCCTCCATCAACAGCCGGCAAATCACCACCAGCGTGTAGGCGCTGAACAAACCACAGACCACGATTATCATTAAGTCATAACCTGCGGGCATTTGAGAGGAAGCATTGGCCATCATCCACAAAGAACTTCAATCCCCAGATGTTCAAGTAGAATATTCGAGTGCAATGTCAAAGCAATGTTTTGCAACTCTTCCGATCAGTTGCCATTTCTTTGAAAAATCTGCATCACGCTGACATGTTGACACAACACGACAATGTACAACATGTGTTGACCAACATTGACACTGTATATATATATATATTGTATGTTGTTTTGGTGCAACATGTTGCAAGGGATGTTGCAAGGGATGTTGTAGGGGTTGCATCTGCGTTGCATCTGCGTTGCATCTGCGTTGCATCTGTGCCCTGGGCGCCCTGGCAAAGAGCATAGCAGCTGCCGCAGACCATCGTGGCCAGCCACACACGTCGCCGCTCCAGCTCTGAATCATGCAGTGCCAAGTAGCTCCTTGGGAAAATCGTGGAAAAATCCTGGAAAAGTACTGAAAACATTATGAAAAGATCGACATGCGAAAACATTGGAAAATCCCGGTGAGCAAATCAAGATAAACCGAGGTCAACCAAGCTCTTTCTCCAAAAAAGTCTCACGAACTGGGTGCTGGATCAACACTGGCTTAATCAAACGCATCAAACACATCAAACACATCAAACACATCAAACACCCTTACTAAACTTTGCTAAACTTTGCTAAACTCTCTCCGCAACAAATTTACACGCCAAATCGCTGGATGAGGGCTACCAGAAGTTGCGAAGGCAACAGACACGCAGCCTTGGAGCAATCGATGGGAAATGTAACCCATGTAAAACAGAAAATGATTCTGCTGAAGCCACACAAAGCTCCTGAGATATGAAAATCGATCTTGGTCATATCTGATATCTGGTGCATCATGGTGCATCAAAGGCAGTGTTTGAAGATGCTTGCAGCATCTGGATTTACTCTCAAGTACTTTATCTGCCCCTTGGATGCAGGAAGGCACATGAATCCAGTCTCCCGCATAGGCCACATGGAAGAGTGCGAACATGTTCATCCAGGTCTCTAACCTTAGCTTGTGAAGCTTGGAAACGTCCCTTGTGTCCCCATCTGGCAGACTCCTTGCAAACCAACACAGACAGATGTCACAAAGATTTTCGAAGCCATCTGCAATTCCAACGCATAATTTCGCCGCAGGCTGACGAGAAAGCCGACAAGACACCAGAAAAAGCTCAGGATCTGCACGATGCTCAGCTGAAACGAGGAGGCACCACCAAGCAACGACCGCCTCGAAAGCCGTCGCTAAGCCGTCGCTAAGCCACTGAGCAACTCAAAATGCTCCAGAAAGGTGATATGAAAAATGTGAAGCTCCTCTTTTGCTTGTGTTTTCTTGTTTTATCATGTTTATTGGTGTTTATTACTTGTCATTTTGCTTGTTTCAAGCTTAGTTCCAGACGTACGCCGATGTGCCCGACTTCTTGGGGCAGTTCTCGCAGCCTTGTTGCAGGGCAATGCCTTGTTTACATCGGATATTCCAATTCTGTCAGCCAAAATGTGAACAGAATGTCAACATATCAATATCATATCAAACATATCTCAAAAATTCTCAAAATATCTCAACATTCCAACAGAGTTGTACCGTCCAACCCTTCAAACTCTTGTACTGCCACTCCAAACGGGTCTGACTGCGAAGGCCTCTGTCCAGCGCTGTGCAGCTTCTGCTTTCTGCTGCGCTCGGGCAATCCGGGCATAACCTGATTCCAAGCGCACGCATGGCAAAATTCTCGAAGGCAAAATTCAGTCATTCAGACAGGCGACATTACATATCTTACATGCAACCAAGCTGCGATCTCGCCGATCGTCCAAATCGCAATCTCCATCACTCTCACTGCCTTCAGTTGTACAGGCCGGATGCGTTTGTAAGGTTTTGAAAGTTTTTCATCGTGGTTCACGCTGAAAGTCAAAAGCCAAGTCACTGTCCATTGCTGCCCATTCAGAATTCTGCATGAAGACTTCCACCTGCTGTTTGCCTGAAGATTTGTGGTCCCAAAAAACTCAATTTGGCCATAAGGTATACAATGTATAGATGCATGTTAATTCAATATTCATCGACGTTCTCTTTTCGTGGCCACCTTTCTTTCACTGAAATCGTCATTTTCAAAGTTGGGAAGACTGGAATGTGGAATGAGAAACCTCCGCTACCCTATCTGACCGCCCGATTTGTGACGATCCTGACGACCCGCCTTGACCCTCAAGATCCTCATCGGAGTCCAATTGCAGCTCTGCCTCAGAGTTCTCAATGGGAAAAAAGGAGAAAAACTTCAGAAAAACCTTAAAACATCCACGATATTCCACGATCGCAAATGGAATGCTGAGTTCCCAAGCCTTGGCCCTTTCACCTGACATAAGAATGCTACGAATGACTCATTCGACAGCAAATCAACTGAGAGATCTGAAATTTTGGCATCGAATGACTCTGCCTGGCAGTAGCGGCGCTTGCAAGGCCATTTCAGAATCAGCTCACCGGGCCGCAATGTTCCAAAGCCACATTTGTAAAATCTCTGTGTTTTCAAAATGTTCATTCCGCTACAAACCTACTCATCCTACTCTGCACTCATGACATGTTGAGTATCTGGGAAAGAATGGAACACTGGGAAGAATGCTATGTATGCTGCTATGTATGCAAACAAGTGGTGTGATCTCAACAAGAATTCATCGAAGCCTTTCCAGTCAAGGCTTAAAAAAATCTTTAGATTTGCCCCTTATTTCCTGGCGTTGCTGCGTTGCTCAAGTTTGTTAACGTGACCTATCCTGATCTGGTGCTCGATCCACGGTCCATCCAGATTTCGACCAAAACCGTAGGACACCGTAGGTCACCGCAGGTCACCACAGGTCCTCAGAATCGAATCTATGAGATCTCCACTTCTCTGAGATGTGCGAGTGTCTGGGGATATTGAGTTAGGAGACACTGTGATGCGCTGCAAAAAAAGGTCCAAGATTGTCAAAACAAACGGCGGTCACAGCTTCTCATTGGTAATCCCTAGCAGCACTCCGCTGTCTTTTGCTGCGGAACAAACTCGCTCTCTGTCCGTGGTCTGATCACAGCGCGCTCTTTCACATGACCCGGACACTGTTTGACACTGCCACTCTCAACTATCTTCAGCGCTTCAGCGGTACTTCACGAAGCCAATCTCCTCAGCCTTCTCACGGAACTCCTGACGCTTCATCATGATGCCATACCTTTGTTCTCAGGAAATGTTCTATAGATCTGAACCAAAAAAATCAAAAAAAACGCTTCGATCTCGGACGGAACTGAAACTTGTGGTCCAATCTGCAGCCTGGATATCTTCAGAAACCGTTGGTTTGTTTAGCAAACCCTGAAAAGAAAGTCACAACTCATCAGTTTGTTCCACGTCACTTTCGGATCAGGGCCATGCCGCCGGGACGGCCAGAGACGCGGGAGCTGCGCAGGCCCTGCCGCTTTTGTGATGGAAAAACCGGGTTCTCGAGAATGAAAGAACATAAATGAACGACAAATCATCCAACCTCAAGTCGCTGCCTTCAAACTCTGCTGTTGGTTCCGAAAATTTGCAATGGACCTAAAATCGGCTTTGATTTTACTCTGACAAGCCTTGGACCCTGGAAGGCCACGCACAGGGGCGCTGAAGGGATTTCGCTGTGGCTGAGCGCCATGACCACCACGTGGGCCGCCGCCAGTGCCTCCCACACCTGACAGGAATCAATTGGTAGAGCTAGGCAGTGGAGGGAGAAATATTTAGAAAATGTTCCGATTCAATGAAATTCAATGCAGTGCAATGATATGCAATCAATGCAAAGGAATGCAAAGGAATGCAAAGGAGTGCAATGATGTGCAGTGAAATGAAGTGAAATGCAATAAAGAAATGTATCAGTTGGAAGGATTTGAAAGGTATTGATGTTGTGTTATGCCTCATCAAATGAATTCAAACAAGGAATGGTCTTCAATCGAAATTCATTGATATGTTATCCTGATTCCTCTTTTGTTTCAGCCTCCCAGCATGGCGACGTGCCCTGCGGTGAAGAGGATCTGCACAGCGCTGTCTGCCTGAAAACGAAGGAACCAATGTATACTTCAGCATTGCATGGCATTGCATAGTTTTCTACAATTTCAATGGTTTCAGAGGGCGCAATGTATTTGCAACCGTTAGGACTAGGGGGCCAAGCAACATCTGGAACTGCCTTTGATCAACATGAACAACCTTGCACTGCAATGGCGGCAACATGCATAACGGGGTACTCAGGAACCCTCCCTGCATGACAACCACAAACATTGTGGATCTTGCACTACCCGTCATTACCCGTCTAATTTTGGTTTCAAAAGTGTCAATCTGGGAACATGTTTGGATCTCACGGTCAAACCATGTCATCCGATTGCAGCTGCCTTGGCGTCGTAGCACTCCAGAGTGTCCCAATCCTTCAGCTGACGGCCGTTGTAGATGAGGCGCATGTGCTCAGGCTCGATGTTGCAGTATTCCTTAGCCATCTTCTTCACATCGCCTCAGAGAAGCCGAAGAGCAAGAAGAGCAAATAGAGTATGATGCTATAAATGCTATAAATGCTATAAATGCTATGTGTGTTCCAATGGACAGCACACCAATTATGGTTGAACGACTCGCAAAGCAGATCTTCACAGATCTTCACAGATCGCTGACATCTTCACAGATCTTCAGATATCTTCAGCATCTAAGGCTCACGCGGACCTTGGTCTCCGAGGGAAGCTGAAGCTCGAAGGTCTCCAAGCCCGGCACCCGAAACTGCACAGATTGCTGGACCTCTCGCGACTCTCGAGACTCTCGAGACTCCCGGCCCAGAGATCAACAATTAATATACATACGTATATGTATATATATATACACGTATAACTTATAAGAAAATATGATAAAACATCTTATGAACATTTATGAACATTTATGAACTGCATTGAACTGCCATCCAGTCATCTATGATCCATCACACCCGTAACCCTCATAAGCCTCTTGGTGCATAGGGCTCCACACGAGAGGTGCAATCTAACAAGCTGATACAAGCTGTCATGATCCCCCACACCCGATCAGCGCACCTCAGGCTCCTTGAGCGTAAGCTCTTGCATTGACTCAACGAGTGCAGTGGCCATTTCTGATTACACAGGTCTCGGTCTCACGTCGTGTTCCTAGCAGCTTTCCTTCCCCTTGAGCACAAAGGTAATGGATGCATCCGTGCAATCTTTACAAGACAAGAAGAGTACAGAAGTTTACAGAAGCACCGGTATTCTAAGAATCAGAGACATTCCAGAGTGAAGGACCTTGATGGCAAACAAAACTTGATAGTCTGATCGGGATGCAAAATATGAATAGATATATATATATATAATGATAATAATATGGGCTGATATATATTGAGATATGGGATCCTACAAAGCAAAGAGTGTTCGAGTGTTCGAGAGCCTGGGGGGAGAAAACAGAGCGAGACTCCAAGGCCAGGACTCCAATCTCTACAATCCAAGGTTACGGCCGTTGCGGATGGTTACGGAAATGTGGGTGATGTTGATGTCGGTTGATCTCGGCTAATCTCGGTTGATGTCGTGTGATGTTGATAAGCGCACGGGCGCTTTGATTTTCGTCAGGTGCAGCTTTCCTCTCAATCTTCAGCGCTTCAGCGGTACTTCACGAAGCCAATCTCCTCAGCCTTCTCACGGAACTCCTGACGCTTCATCATGATGCCATACCTTTGTTCTCAGGAAATGTTCTATAGATCTGAACCAAAAAAATCAAAAAAAACGCTTCGATCTCGGACGGAACTGAAACTTGTGGTCCAATCTGCAGCCTGGATATCTTCAGAAACCGTTGGTTTGTTTAGCAAACCCTGAAAAGAAAGTCACAACTCATCAGTTTGTTCCACGTCACTTTCGGATCAGGGCCATGCCGCCGGGACGGCCAGAGACGCGGGAGCTGCGCAGGCCCTGCCGCTTTTGTGATGGAAAAACCGGGTTCTCGACAATGAAAGAACATAAATGAACGACAAATCATCCAACCTCAAGTCGCTGCCTTCAAACTCTGCTGTTGGTTCCGAAAATTTGCAACAGACCTAAAATCGGCTTTGATTTTACTCTGACAAGCCTTGGACCCTGGAAGGCCACGCACAGGGGCGCTGAAGGGATTTCGCTGTGGCTGAGCGCCATGACCACCACGTGGGCCGCCGCCAGTGCCTCCCACACCTGACAGGAATCAATTGGTAGAGCTAGGCAGTGGAGGGAGAAATATTTAGAAAATGTTCCGATTCAATGAAATTCAATGCAGTGCAATGATATGCAATCAATGCAAAGGAATGCAAAGGAATGCAAAGGAGTGCAATGATGTGCAGTGAAATGAAGTGAAATGCAATAAAGAAATGTATCAGTTGGAAGGATTTGAAAGGTATTGATGTTGTGTTATGCCTCATCAAATGAATTCAAACAAGGAATGGTCTTCAATCGAAATTCATTGATATGTTATCCTGATTCCTCTTTTGTTTCAGCCTCCCAGCATGGCGACGTGCCCTGCGGTGAAGAGGATCTGCACAGCGCTGTCTGCCTGAAAACGAAGGAACCAATGTATACTTTAGCATTGCATGGCATTGCATAGTTTTCTACAATTTCAATGGTTGCAGAGGGCGCAATGTATTTGCAACCGTTAGGACTAGGGGGCCAAGCAACATCTGGAACTGCCTTTGATCAACATGAACAACCTTGCACTGCAATGGCGGCAACATGCATAACGGGGTACTCAGGAACCTTCCCTGCATGACAACCACAAACATTGTGGATCTTGCACTACCCGTCATTACCCGTCTAATTTTGGTTTCAAAAGTGTCAATCTGGGAACATGTTTGGATCTCACGGTCAAACCATGTCATCCGATTGCAGCTGCCTTGGCGTCGTAGCACTCCAGAGTGTCCCAATCCTTCAGCTGACGGCCGTTGTAGATGAGGCGCATGTGCTCAGGCTCGATGTTGCAGTATTCCTTGGCCATCTTCTTCACATCACCTCATTTTTTTGACATTGAACTGGATCATGGATCAAATAAAATAGACAAGGACCCCAAACGGAAAAACTGTATGTTTGTAGAGTTTCATACAAAATATCCACAGCAAACCGAAAATTCCCCGCAAAAAAAAAAAATGCAGCATGTGTTCAAGGCACGCACGGCAGTTGCAAGGCCCAATTCCAATTCAAACGCCTGGAGACCCGGCAATTTGAACTGCACTGCCTGAGTTTCCAAAGCCTGGCGCAAAGTTGGACAAGTACAATCAGTACAGTTCACAAACAGTTCACAATTCACCACGGTATTTTCACATGTGTACGAGTCAACGAAATTAATTCGAATGGCATGTTGATCAAAAGGAAGGCCTGTGGTTCCTTGATGGTCAATTCAGACATTTCGTCGACCAATGTTGCCGCCATGGTGGATCTGCAAAAGCTGTCCTGGTCCAAATACCCTTCAAGCCAAATTCAGCGAGCAAATGCAAAAACCATGCCACTTGACTAAAAAAAATGGTTCATCCAACACAAACCTGGAAACATTCAACCAGTATCAACCAGTTCTTCCTCCGCGCGATATCAACATGTGGGTTTTTCGATTTTGTCTGTCCGATCTCCTTGCAACGACGCAGCATCTTTGAATTTGGGACGGATGTACACCGACTTCATTTTGTCAAAACAAAAACGGTGTTGTTTCCAATTTTTAAGCACTGGTTTGCCAACGGATACAAAAGTTTGCACAAAATGATGTTGCTATCAAACACCAAAATGTGGCAGCAACAAGTTTCGCCTCTTGCCGTTTATGATATGTATGTTTTCATCTTCAAAATGCCAACAAACTCAAAACATGGGAATATTTTGTGCACTGCTTCCCTTGGGCTGTAGAAACCAGTGCCCTCCCTTTGCGCAAATCCATGGAAATCGTTATCACACGGAATTTAAACGGTAAGTTTCAGGGTTGCTGAAAACTGAATCGAGTGGTTTGAAGTAAAGAAAAAAGAATTGGCAGAAGAGAATAGAGCTGAACGAAATGCAAAACCGATGGCAGCAAATCGATCGATCCGGCCGATCCACAACGCTTAAGGAACCCATGTGGTATTCACATGATAAGCTGAAAATTGTTCCAACATCCACGTCTGAAATTTCACGTTTGTGAGCTCGATTGCACAGCGTCATCCTCGCGCATGTGGCCATGCTAGGCATGGGTACTGATAACGTCAAAGTTTCGGACCCGTCCTTCCAAATGTGATCACGACTCTCATTGGCATTCTGCACCGCCATGGCGCACATGTTTTCACACTGCTTTGGAAATTTCACAAAAGGGTGGCATTCTGGTCGCTGGGAGCTGCCACCATTCACAAAAAAAATGCAGAAGGGATGGCATTACGTTAAAGGGGGATTGCCATCATTCCCCTGCCTGTGTTTTGTTTTGCAAGCGTTGTGCTTGCAGCATTTGGGTAACCGACCTGCTTCAAACGAGCAAATCAGTTCCCTTTTCAATGGCCCATTGAAAATTTTCACAAATAAACCATTTCTTTGATTTGGTTTGCATACCCTTGATACCTTCACAAAGCATTGGGGTCGATTCAGCATGGCAGATTGATGTCTCTTCAAGTTGATCTCCCGAAGACAGGACAAACTGCATTTTCTGTTCTTTGGGCACCGGCTGATTGGCATTGACGACATCCAGCGGTTGCATCAAAGCGTTTTGAAAGCAAACAGAACCTGCCCAAGTTTACGTCCCAAGCCGTTGCTCAGTTTGTTTCGGAATGTATGACGTCAGAACGTTCAGAGGCCAAAGTGACCTCCTCATCGTGCCTCCTCCTCGCTCTCACCTCCTTCAGCTAGGCTAAGCCCATGTCGGAGTCCTCGCTTTCAGTGACAACTCCATGGTTTTGCTGCTTGACAATATTCATGAATCCTTGCATCCCCAAAGTTCGAGATGCAGTGAGGTTTGCCCGGACCATTGCATACATATGCTGGCGTTGCGCCGGCGTCAGCTGATGGAAAATTGTATAGCCTCCAATATTGATCAGCCCCCACTGAATGTTCTCCACGCTGTCGGCCATCATGTCGAGTTCCCCTTGTGCGAAACCGCTGGCAGCAAGCACAACGCTTTTCCTCAAAACAAGGGTCTCGAGTATTCGTGCATCATTCGCATGACCAAAGCTGAAATGACGTAAAATTTTTCCATGTTTCCAATTGCAAAACTGTATGTGCGTAAACACGGCTGAAGCTGCGGTCGCTTTTCCTCAGCCAAAAGAGCCTCACGTAAAATGAAGTCTTCCACATGCTGTTCATGCGAAATTGGAATGTCACTGCAACTACTCTTCTTGATTTGCGCGTGTCGTCCATGACTGAAATACTGAAGTCCAGTAGGCGCTGCAAGATTTCACACTCCTCCTTTGAGTATCGAGTTTTAGATTGATATTCTGATATTCAACCTTTGTAAACGTCTTTTGCCAGACATTGTCTCTGGCAAGACATCTCTGAAAGAAAAGAAAAATGGCTAGGAAAGATCCACGTTATCCCTTCCCCTGCCTTCACAAAAGACTGAATATGTTTTCAACATACAATCTGTATCACTGTGCCCTCGCATCACTTCCACGATTTCTGTGCCATCGGTGCAAGCGTTGGAAAACGTTTCGAATGCGGTTCAATGTCTCCATTCCCAGTCCTCCAGCATTGGTATCTGAACTTGATTCCAAAAGGATCATCATTGCCTGTTGTATGTTTGATGCATCTGTATGCCATCCACCTATATCCACCTGAAACTGCTATTCCCTGATCCAAACGCAAGTTTTCCAGCTAGGCTTCATAGCTGCCAGGGGAATCTCGCGTTCTAATAATTTCGTCTTCTGTCAAAGACTCCTCCTCACCTTCTTCAATGTCTGCATGCTCTGTTGGAATTGGGTCTGTTGTCCCAGCTTTGCTTTTCATTTGCCACAAGACGTAATTGGTTCTTTCTTGCACAAACATGTGTCGACGGTGCTCACTGCTGAGCTCATCATTTCTCACAAAACCTCCATATTCCATCAAGGTGTATCGCAAGCACTGCAAGTTGGTATCCAAAGCGTTGACCTCCTCATGTAGTTCAGCTTCCATCTGATACATGAGTGTGGATGTCTTCTCTGTTGTCGTCTCCAAACCTTTGATTCTTTCAGCCAAGTTTGCAGCATACTCATAATGCTCTGCCAATTGGAATTCTGCTGAACTCAGGCCTCTACCTTGCTCCCTCAACGTTGAAACCAAATTTTCCAAACGTCTCCACATGCGGTACATGACAACTGCCATTGTTGCAAGCAAAAGCAAAACACCAACTGCCATATTGAAACTCCAAAAAGAATCCACCACTGAAGCATGTGAAGCAGGACATTGAAGTTTCGTAGCATCTGCTTCCACTTGCCTGTCATGTTCTTCTGCTCCAACTCTTTCAAATGAAGGGATATACACCAATCCAGCTTCATGCATCAACAAATATAAACGCTGTCTGCTCAAGCATTTTGTACCTATGTCAGCAATGTTCCATACCGTTTGCACTTGTCTGAGAAGAATGCTTTTGTCCTGTGTTTTGTCCTGCAACCAAAGAATCTTCCCAGAAACATGACGTGCACGGCCGCATCCTTGTCTTGAAGCTAGTTGCCTGGCGCTGCTGCTGTCTGTGTAAAGCATGTGTTGTACTTGTTCTCCCAAAACAAATTCAGCACATGACCTGATGAAAATTCCATCACATGCCGCACTGACCATGCTGTGCAACTCACTTTCACACGAGCTGAGAGACACTACTTTCTGGTTTCTGCTGCTGGAGTATACCAGATTGTTGTTGATCGTGTGGACTGAGCATGAAGTGGAACGTCTGTTAGATTTGCTTGCACTCCAGTCAGCATCTGAAAACGTCTCCAGCACCCATTTGTAATCTCCTCCTGCACTCATTGTGCCTTGCCCTGGTGCAGGAAAACTCAAATGAATGCCAACATCACCAACATGTCTCATGAAGCCAACAAGCTTGCGCACATGCTGTAAAGAACTCAATGTTGGACTCGACATTGATGATGACAATTCTTGATGGCAAACATAAGGTCGGGACGTTCCCTTCCTATGTTTCAATATAGTCTCACAATGGACCTGTAGTTGCTGCTATCCCTTTGATCCGGCTTTTGGGAAGTGTCTGGAAGCTGGATACTTGAGTCACACGGGATCTTTTGTGCACGGGCTGCACCAAATGCTGCCTCAAACGCTTTAACCACTTTGGAAACTTTTGTGCCAGGTGAAAGAATAAGTCCATCATCAACCTCTGTGATTGTGCGTCTTCGAAACTTTATGCTGCTACCCGTTCCAGTGAGTTCATCATGGCTAGTGGGAAACTTTTCTCCCATCTTCTTCAAGAAAACATTTCTCCAGAAATCTTGTTTTCCAACATACAAAATGTCGTCAACATGGATCAGAATTGTCGCCTCTGCCGTCCTTGCCAAACAAGGTTGTTCTGCTGAAAACTCAAAACCCATGCTGCTCTGGAGAAAATCTTTGAGAAAAAGGCACCACTGCTTTGCACCCAAACGCTGGCCGGGCAAATTTCTGTTGATCACACACTGTTCACCTTGTAGCGTCACCAGAATGGGGTCATCTTGGCAAACTTGAAGGAAGGCGTCCTTCACACTCCTCCTTGGTTGGCATTTCCAGAGCTTGGCATTTCATCCAAAGGTATTTGATTGGAAGAAGATTGTTTGTATATGCTCCAGTTGCCGGTGAAAAGGTGTCCAAGCGCTTACTGTTGTTGAACTCTCGTGCTACTAGCCTGCATCTTCTCATCCATCTTTTTCTCATTGAAGGCCCTTCACCCAAGTCTTTGAGCCTCCAGTCTCTCACAAGGCGCGTCGTCAGCTTGCCTGTGATGGCACCCTCAAACTCAGCAGCTGTCACAAGAACTTGCATCTGTGTCAACCTTTGGATTTCAAGCTTGTCTGCCATGTCATCAATCCATTTCTCTGGCGCCTCTGTAGGTGTCTTCTCAATAGCAGCATCACTCCACAACGCATCGGGCACTGCAGGTAATTTCACGCTGTCTTCTCCAGCCCAGATGTCATCGTCTGGAACTTCTGCAACATCCAATTCAGTGCTGTAATCATCAACAGTGAAGTACTCCCTGTATGCCAGTTTGACTTTTGTCAAGCGCTCTTCATATTCAGCTTTGAGTTGGTTGATGCGCTGGCGTTTTGACTCCTCTGTCTTCTGTCTCTTGAGAGTCTCTTCACTTCCCTGCTCACTAGGTCTCACTGAAGAGGATGCCCTGGGGCTGTCACCAGGAGAGTCACGTGGGGGTGTAATAGGTATTGCAAGACCTGGATCATCAACCACGACCACATCTTTGGAATGCGCTCCAACATTGGTACCTTCAACATGCATGGGAGCGCTTGTAGAAAATC